CAGCACTGACAATTACCTGTGTTAATTAAGCATTTGCAGAGGAGCTTGCTGGACTTACTGGATCCACCTCAGGCCACCCCCAGCACCACCAGTATCAGCTGAACTCTTCCCACCTCAATGAAGGCAGAGTTTTTTGCACTGTGATTTATCAACACATGCTGCTTGAATTAAATACAATTGTGTTTGTACACTGGTTTTAAAAAATATTTTCACTCTTGATAAAAGCCTGATTGACACAGAATATGAGCCATTGAATTATAACACACTACATTTTGCTAAGAACCTATAGATATGCAAATTTATAGGAGGGCAAGCAACATTCTTACTCCTGATGAGGATGGGTTGGATAGAAATGATTCTCTTGTCACTTGTTACAGAGAAGAAGTAATAATTTTGCTTTGTCTTTAGAAAGGCAAAAGCCAGTCATTGTGTTACAAAGTAGATTGCATACATTGGTTCACTTTCAATGCCTCTTTCCCCAGAACATCTTAGGAGATAAGAACATTTCTAGTGTCACACCATGGTTTAATTGACTGAGACCACCTCTTAGGCAAGCTCCCTGGCCATTCAATTACCATATGAATAAGAATGTATGTATCTTCCCTCATATCACTGTCTTGCTTTTTTTTGTTGTTAACAAAAATATGTTAATGGATAAGAGCAGCTTTTCATTTGGACAATGTCTTAATGCTTGTGTGAATTTCAGAGGGTGGAATAAGCCCTTTCTTTAAAAGTTTGCAATTTCCCTGGAGCTCACCAACTACCTCTACTCAACAAAGAAAAAAAGGCAAATGGGAGACTTCAAACCTCAGCACCTGATGGGATGCTGCTGTGGTTTACAAATCTGTTTAGGGAGATGAAACATTCAAGTCCTCTGCTGTCTCTTGTTCAGAAGGCTGTCATTGATGGGAGAGAGGAAAAAGCCCAGTGGTGTTTGATTTAGTGTCCGTCAGGCTTGTTCCCTGCCTCTCCAGGTGGAGATGATCCTTGGCAGCTACTCAATTCAGGTGTACAAGATCACTGAGGAAAGAAGCATCCCTACTTTATTTTGAAATGAACACAAGAGAGGCAGCAGATGTGAGTGAAAATGAATTCTGTGAAGGGCACCGGTGTTAATTGTTCAAGTTGGAAATTATTTATGGAATTCAGTGCTAGCTGTCATGCCTCCTTCATTCTCTATTGCAGGCCATTCCTCCTACAACAGGTTTTGTTGTCTTCATTTTTCAGTGGTAGGAGAGTGCAAACTCCATTTGCTAGATAGTTAGTAAATTCCAAAATATCCTCCTGCCCTATTTTCTATTGCTTTCCCAAACTTTGCACGCTGGACATCAAAATGGCTTTGATCCAGCTAAAAAATCAGTAACACTCCAGTCAAAACGAGAAAAATAGTGGGCAACAGCATGAAACCAATCATGAGAGGTCTCAGGGTATGAATGTGTGGTTCAATAGCCAGCCCCTAGGCTCTTCTCATGCTCTTAAGGGAAGCTCCCAATTCAAACAGGCATTGTAGTTTAAATCACTTTCCTATTTTGGGATGAAATACAAAGGCAACACCATGCTCCCCACACCTAATTTCTGAAATAATTTAGACTTGAATACTGACTACTTAACAGAAGTTTGAGCATGGCAGGGAAGGTGAGAAAGTGGCTTGAGGCTGGAGCGTGTCTCGGGGCAGCATCCCAGTCTGTCCTTCTACACCGAGCTGCACAGAGGGGCTCTGTCCGTGGTGCTTACGGGACAGAGCCTGCACTTGAAACTGCAGCCTGAATCAGCTGTTAAAAAATCAACTTCCACTAGGTGGAAGGCTCTTCGTTCTGTTTGCTCCTCATCTCTTCCCCCACCTCACTGAGTCTGGGACCTGAAAGCCGCTGTGCTTTGATTGCACCCCCATGTCACTGGGAAAAGCACTTGCATTGCATCAACCATCCCCTCTGCAAGGACCATTTGATTTTCTAAAGGTGTACCTAGCACATCTGTCTGAAAAATCCAAACCATTAATTATAAAATGATATATATGTTGAAGCTGAAAGCAAGAAAACTATCAGGCTTTTCTCAATAATGATTTGTTCCTCCCAAGTGAATTCCTCAAAGTATCTATGCCTTTCTATCCCTTTCACTGTAGAACAAGAATCTAATACCACTTGTCTTGCTAGAGAGGACAATAATATCTGTTGTATATACAACAGCCTTTGTGCAATAAAACATGCAATATTGCAATAGTTGTGCTGTAATGAAAGAACTTCTTTCATTAGAGTGGAAGGGTTTTCCTGTCAATGGAAACTTTAAGTGGTTTAGCTTAACCATCTTTATAAAATTGAAAATAATTTAGTCAAGTAAGCATGACACTGATACAGAAATAAAAAGCACATGAAGAAAATCAGTTTGACTTCTCTTTATACCTTCTGGGACATTGGAGTAAACTTGGACTCCTAATTAAATACGTGGAAACTTTAAGTAGTTTAGCTTAACCATTGAAAAAAATTAAGTCAAATAAGCATGACACTGATATAGAAATAAAAAGCACATGAAGAAAATCCAGTTTGACTTCTCTTTATATACCTTCTGGGACATTGGAGTAAACTTGGACTCCTAATTAAATACATCATTTTGGAAAGCAAAACACATTATTCCTTAATAGTGTACTGAGAAGTTTCAGTGTAATAGATAGAAGTCAACAGAAGCCATATGGAAAATGAATGAGATTGTTCTCAATTTGTTGCCCATTACCATCTTGCTCAAGTTCCATATGGTGACTGAGCTCTATTTACATAACTCTTATGTGTAGGCAACTCAACTATGTTATTGGAGCTGTTAACCAATTAATAAAAATCTACAGCCATATGTGCTGATTCTGCTGTTCGCTGTTGTATTTGCATTGGAAACTGATCTGGGAAATTTTGTTCTGTGTTCTGTTCTGATACTAATAATGTCCTTTCTGTCTTGGGGTGATTTTATAATGATAATTTATTACCTGATCATCTGCTTTAGGCCCAGAAGCGTTGCTGTAGCTTTAAGATGGACTCCAGGGATAAGGTGAGGAGCCTTGGGCTCCTGTACAGTTTGGTTAAAACCTCTCTCTCTGGGTGGACCAGGATGCTTTACAATGTTCCTTTTCTTGGATTAGGTTTTTGCTACTTTGAATCAAGGAGTTGGGGTTTTTTTTCCCTTCCCCTAATCTGGAGGTTGTACCTGGAATCCTCTTGGCAGGCTTTTCTGGTATTTTTTTTTTCCTTTAACTTTTTTGTCTTTGTTTATTTTTCAGACTGACTGGGGACTCAGTGGGGGGCTGCCCCAAACCTGAGACCTCGGAGAAGCTGATCCAGCATGAGAATGGACACTAAAACCCTCCAGCTCCTCCCCTGCCTTAGACAGGGCAGCCATCATCATAAAGAGGGCAGCCATCATCATTGCCTCCTGGCCATGCACTCTGGTGAGGGTTAAGATTTTGAAATTTCAATATTTAACATTTATTCAATCCTTTTCTGTGCCTTGTGGGCACACTTTTCTTTTCTTTTCTTTTCTTTTCTTTTCTTTTCTTTTCTTTTCTTTTCTTTTCTTTTCTTTTCTTTTCTCATAAACAATCTGGTTAGTTTTTTTTTTCACTTTAGACCACTGGTATTAATTTCTGATTGGCAAAAGGGATTACTGGATTCCACTTGACTGGAGCTACTGGAGTCCACATAAAGCCACCTTTAAACAAGCTGTTTACTTGGATATACAGATAGATTCAGAGGGGATGAGGTGCAAAGGGGAGAGTTTCATGCTGCCTGAAGATTATAGAAGTACATTGGTCCAGCAAAAAATCTGGGCTTGCTTCCCTACCTGCCTCCCATTTGTGCTATTGTTCTGAGCAATTAAATGTCACCGTCAGCAAGGATCTCACCATGGTCTTTTCCATCTGAAAGTATGCAGCCTGGAGTCTCGGATCATTTGGGAGCTAATTTAGGAAAGTGGCAAAATCTGTTGAAAAAACATCTCTTTAAAGACCAAACTAATGCTTGAGAAAAAAATCAAACTCTGGGTTCTGTAGGATGAACTTTAACAATTTATTTAGCCATGAACTTCACATCTACATTTCATTTTGAGGTGGCAGTTGGCTGCAACTGAAGCTGAGCAAAATGGTTTTGTTTTAAATCAGTGAGATTTATTCTAAGTCCATTCACTGGACGTATTCATGAGGAAGAAAGAAAAAGGAGCTTCTTCAGTTGCTCTTTTTAAGTTACAAAATGTTAATACAATAAAAATGAAAGCATAAAGAAATGCATTTAAAATGGAAAAGGTCTATGGAAAGCAAGGCCAGAAGAGCATTCAGATTGCATACATAACATCTCAAAGGTGTGATTGTAAGGGAATCTGGGAACCAGGCAATGTGTGGTTTTGCAGAAGAAACCTGTGAGGTAGTCTTTGAAATAAAAAAACACACATTTGGCTTTTTGGGCCTGAGGGGTTGATCTAAAATAAACCACAGGCATTCTGGTCTTTAATTTTAGGTCAGACCTAGTGGCCATAGTGGCCCAAGAAACTGAAAAATATAGAGATTTTGTGTGGGACTTGTGTAGCGAGAAAATGGACTGATCCAAACAGCTACAGGCTCTTTATCTGACCTCATTAGTACACAAAGCTTTGGAACAAACGCTGAAGGAAAACTAATTAAAGATGTGGAAATACATGAAAACCTAGTTAAAATGCAGCAGTACTTCCACAAAGATAGAATATACCAGACTAAGCCAGTATGATAAAGTCTGATAAAACACTCTCTTAGACAATGTAAATACAGTGGATGAAATCTATCTGGACTTCAATAAAACACTTGAGAGGTTGCCATGCGAGAAAATATTAAGATGGAGAAATGTGGATGAATGTAAGAAATGAAAAGTGAGGACAATAGCATGTGCTGAAAGGAAGAGTCTTGGTGGAAGGAGGTTACTAATGTGGTTCCATAGGGACCAGTCTCAGAACTAATCTTGGTTAAAATTTTATTAGTGACCTTGGCAAAAAGCATGTGTGAGCTAATGAAATTTGCTGACGACGTAAACCTAAGACCTGCTGTTTCAACAGAAAAGGATTGGAATACCTCATGGAAAGAACTGGGTGAGTCTGCAGAAGGAGAAAGTACATGCAATTTAATGGAAGAAATGCAAAGTAGGGTCTATAAATGCACGATTGTTATGGTGGGGGTTGTTTGTTGCAGACTTACAAATGACACAAACTCTCAGAGATCCATGTGACAGCAATGGTTTAGCGTGGAGGTCTTGCTTATACAGGGGGTTTGAAACACCTCAGTCTAAACCACTGGTTGATCTGGCTTTAACACCACCCAGCTCCTGGACCAGTGACATATCTGCAGTTCAGGATGGAACGTGATTGGGTGAAGTTCCTGTTTAGGTTTGAATGAATCCTATCATTGTTCACCCAGGGGCCTGTTTATGGAACCAGGCTGGGTTTCTTATTTATAGCCAAATTAACTGCCCAGCCACAGACCAGCTGTGACACAGGATAATGTGCATGCTGAGAATCCAGTGGATTGGATGCTCCATCTTGAAATGCTCTGTGTATCTTTTAACACATCACTTGGAAGATTGTACTTCTAACACATCGCTAAGAAGAACTAGAGAAGGTTCAGAATATAAATTTAATGAGTCTGTTCTTAATTTTAAGAAGGCATTGAATTATTATGAAAAAATGTATTACATGCTGTACGAGAAATAAGCAAGACTAAAGTGTTTTTGTTCACACTCTGCATGTCTTTCCTATTACTGTTCAGTGTTTAAATCTGTCAGATGAAGCAGAAGAAAAGCACAAAATCATTATGTTTGCTATATCCATAATCTTTCATGTGTTTACATGTGCTAAATATATAGAATAATTAAAGCAATTAGAAAAGTCAGGAGTTTAATGGGATTCTTTATCTTAATCTTGCTCTCTGTTTTGGTCAATGTTACTAATGAAAGTCTGTAATGTCAGGTGAACTTTCACTTTTAGAAACTGTACTTGCTTGTGAAATCCCACCTGCAGAATGGCCTCCAGGTCTGGGCTCCCAGCACAGGAAGGACATGAGGCTGCTGGAGTGAGTCCAGAGGAGGCACCAAGTTGATCCAAGGGGTGGAGCACCTCTCCCATGAGGAAAGACTGAGGGAATTAGGTTGTTCAGCCTAGAGGAATTTCAGGATGACCTAATTGTGGCCTTCCAGTACCTGAAGGAGGCAGTAAGAAAGAGAGAGACTATTTAGAAGGGCCTGGAGTGTTCAGCCTAGAGAAGTTTCAGGATGACCTAATTGTGGCCTTCAAGTACCTGAAGGAGGCAGTAAGAAAGAGAGAGACTATTTAGAAGGGCCTGGAGAGACAGAACAAAGGGAGAATGTGTTCAACCTGACAGAGAGTAGGTTTAGATTGGATATTAAGAAGTTCTTTCCTGTGAGGGTGGTGAGGCCCTGGCACAGGTTGCCAGAGAAGCTGTGTCTGTCCCACCCCTGGAAGTGTTCAAGTGTTGGACAGGGTTTGGAGCAACCTGGTCCAGTGGAAGGGGGTAGGACAAGTTGAGATTTAATGTCCTCCCCAACCCGAGCCATTCTGTAATTCTGTGAAATGAAAATTGGTTTTGAATTTTTCTTTGGTTGTAATTTCAAAGCATCCATAAAATCTAGTGGGGGATGTGGTTTGAAATATCAAGGTTCTGAGGATGGGATGTACTGATGTAAATAGAGGGGAAAATTGAGGTGGACTGCATTATGGAAGGATTTTCTTTCAGGGTTGCAGTTAATTTAGCTGCTGCATTATATGGCTCATATTGAAGACACAAACTTGTTTGGGCCCTCCTGAGCTCCTTGACACCAGCAGAACCATCATTGAGTTATCTGAAACACTCACTGACTGCCTTGTCAGCTTAATGGGCACTGTGCATTGAACTCTTGTAGTAAAACACTTGCATGCTTTACAGCATGACATTTCCTGCACAGTAAGTTATCACAACATAACTAACTATCCAGCTTGCAAATATTTAATCTTAATACTTGTGAATTAATGGAGAAATAATTGGTTTGGTCAAATCCACAGCTAGCTGGGTCTTCAGTGCACTGGTTAAGAAACAGTCTAGTGCAAATGCAGAATCAGAGGGATAACAGGTGTTATCATCATTGAAGTTGATTTTGAATTGAGATTTGTGGCTAAACATGGGCTATATAATCACCATACAAAATGGCTTTGGAACTCTGGTACTTTACAAAACTGTTTTGTTTTGTGCAGCTTGGAGGTGAAAGGGATGATGGTAAGCCTGGGTGTTTTGGCAAGAACTAGAGAACTTGACCTGTGTTGCATAAATATAAGAAGATCAGGAATTTATTTAAAAAGCCCCAATTTATTCCACCCAGAGGAATCCCCAGTGAATAATTATGCAATTAAAATAACTCTTTTTATCACAATACACCAACCCTTTGTCCAGTAACTTGTCAGAGGAATTTAATTAAAACCCATAATCTTAAAAATATACTTGTCTGCAACTGAAAGTATGTAATCCCTTGAGATAGAAGCTGCTTAAACAGGAGTTCAGCCCAATGTAATTCTGCCACATTAGTGTGCACTACAGTGTATTAATTTGGAGAGCAAGTTCCATAGATGACGGATCATTAGTGTTTATTATGATTACATTATAGTAATTTTTGTTTAGTCAGTAACCAGCTATGCTGAATCCAAAAAATGGTGTAGTGCATTTATTGTAACCACTTATCCATGTTCAGGTAATTTTGTCCTAATGATAGAGCAAGCTTACATAAAGCTTTCTGTCAACTGGTTATACATTAGGCACCTTTTTTTTACCCCATGTGCCAGATGAACAAGTGTATGTGATAAGAAAATATCTGTACTGTTTCAGACAACAAAAAAAGTATTTCTAAAACCTCTTTGCTAGTAATGGCTGGAAGAAATAGTTCCTTTACTTTTGTGCTTCCAGAACTGGCAATGGCTGATACATGCAGGTATTTATTTATATGGAGTAGGGAAACACACTTTATTTCACTGTGACATGCTTAATTTTTTCTCATGAATAGAATTTTGACTCCTTCCAGCAGAAAAGGCATGGCAGGGCATAAGGGGAAGAGATTATGCTCACATATCTTGTTGTCAGTGAAATGAAGTGTGTCACGGGTTTTCCAGTAGAGGAAAACTGGCGATGGGGAGTTGAGGTTTAGGGTTTCCTTACCTGCTCACAGTTCTGCAGCTGTGAGCACAAGCCTTATAAAGGTGCAGTGTATTTTGAAGTTGGATGTATGGTACAACTGTAGAAAAATGTTTCCTCAGGTAAGTGTCATCGTGGCAACCTGCAAACTGGCAGAAGGCAGATGTAGATGGGATATGAGGAAGAAATTAGGTGCAGTGCAGTGATGTAGATTTCAAGAATCAAAAATAGGAGATTTATGGGAAAATATTGATGAATATGTGTTAGCATACAGTGCATAAGTTGTGTTTGGATTCCTGTGCTTTTTTTACAGGAGGCAGGGTGAGAAACACCCCCCAGTCAGTTTTGCTTATGCTATATCCAAACCATTGCCAAATTTCTTTTTGTATCTGCTTGATTATTATTTTATATAAAATTGCTGCTCAGTTACAATTGCTGCTAAATTCAACTTTGTTGTTTATTGAATTAGACATATAAGACCTCATTCATATCAGTAGGGTATTAATAAGGTCCCAGTAATTATTCTTTAATTTTAAACATTAACTTACCAAGCTGTGTGGCATCAGCATTCAAATTCTTTGGGGTTTTGTTGTTTGTTTGTTTTTTTCAAGTTGTCATATTATTTCAGCAAAGAGAGGCCCAAAGAACCAGAGCCCTGTGTGTGCTCTCACTGTCAGTCTCAGTATCTATTTGCTGATTTTCACAAATTTATTGCCAGCAAAGAATGGCAGGTCAGTAAGGAATATGAAAAGAAGCTGTACGAAATAGCTGAAACCAACTCATAATGAGAAATTCAGACTTGGGGATTGGTAGACATTGTGTAGGAAATGCACTGAGGAAAAATACTATTTAGGGCAGACAACCTAGGGGAAGACAAGGAGAATATTTTCAAAACATTTTTCACAAGTACATTGTGCACTCAGCTCATGTATTGCTGTGTTTATAGATTCTGTGGCAAATTTCTTGCAGTATTATAAATAATAAAATCATCTCCTGAAAGCCATTTACCTGGTTTTGTATCTGATACCCCTTAGCAGATACTGGCTTTACACAAAATTCTTGTCCTATCAAAATGTAAATTGCAGACTGATGTTACACTGGTGAGCTGTGTCAAGCCGTTTACAAGTAACAAAGAATATCAGTGAAAGGTGAGAACATCGGGGGGCAAAATGAAGAGAAACCACACTATTTACAGTTCGAGAACATCGGGAGGGGGAAAATGAAGAGAAACCACACTATTTACAGTTGATGAAGAGCATATCTGACAGCTGAGTGAACAAAAAGAATAGGCATTAACAACGCCTGTGCCTTGACAAATGTTGGGGGAATCTCTTGCCTTTGGAGTCTGTGTAGCTGGGAGTTCATTAGCAGGCATTCTGTGCGTGCCTGCCTTCATTTCTGCTGAAGTAATAATCCTTTAGGGGTGTCTGTGAGTAAGAACCTTGCCTCAGGAGGAATACAGCCTGTGATACTTTGTAAAATACTTCCTAATTTCTATTATTAATAAAAGGCTTGTAGTTTGGGTCTTTTCTGGACTTTCCTTTTTTTTTTTTTTTTTTTCTTCCTTTCAGTTACCTTTCTGGTAGGGTGGGGTTGGGGAAGGCACTAAATCACTTTACTAGAAACAGTGATATGTGGCATGGAATGCTTAGGAGATTATGTTTGTCTCAGGGACAGAGAATGCTGCAGTCAACAGGAAATCAGTTTCTGAGGGTGCTACACTAAGTTTGCCTCCTAACTGGAAAATTTCTAATTGTTGCTCCAAGGGAGCAATAAGCTGAAAACCAGGCAGATGGCTTCTTCCCCACTTGCCTTATTCTTTGATTCCATGTAAATAATTTCTAGCTTCATAGCTTCATAGTAACCTTTTGTGTTAAACATTTGTAAATGTTTTAACACTATCATAGTTGCTCTCTCTTGTACAGTAACTTGGCTGTTCAAAAGCCAGATGTTTTTCTGCTGGTTTCAAGGGAAACCTGATTTCAGATTTTTAAATCTAGTCTCTAGACTGAGACACTACTTCTAGCTAAGCATTAGCAATTATGAAGGATAAACTGTATTTTGTCCCATGCTGTGTGTTGAAGGGTTTTTTTTCCTTCAAGTAGGGGCTGAAGGAGATGGCTTTTTTCCTTCTATTATAAATTTGTTGTGTATAGGTAAAGCCTTACAAAATAAGGGCCTTGTTACCAGAGTAAAATCATGGCTCAGGCCTGTCACTGTTTCTCTTGACTTTGACAAGCTTTCTTTTCTCTTGGTAAAGGTGCATACCAGAGGAATGACTACAACCATGTGTGAATGTTTTTTTTTTGTTCCCTTGGCCTGTCAGGGCCAAAAGATGTGTGTGTGTCCAGATTATTGGTTGACAGTCACGAGACAGTCACAAGATGAGTGCAGTTCTGTGCAGTTGGGTGCAGAGATGAGTGCTTGGCAGATTCAGTTTAGCTGTAATGTATATAGTATAGAATAATATAGTATAATAAAGTGATTTATTAGCCTTCTGATAAGATGGAGTCAGATGCATCATTCTCTCCCCTTCATTGGGGGTTGCCTTTGGTTCAATATTCCTTTTACTCTGCTTTCATCACTTCATGATTTCCAGGAGCAGATAGCTGACATTTGTACTTCTAGGGACTGATACAGAATCCATGGAAAGCCATTTTCATCCTCAAACTTGCCAAGCTCTGGCTCAGGCTCCTCCATTGTCTCCTAGGCTGGATTAAACAGCACTGATGGTGTGAGTAGTAACAGAGAGTCCTCTGCTGCAATGAACTCCTCTGCCATTTGCAGGAGAAAAATAGAGCTGAGGTGTCCCTCACTCTGAAACACTGAATCTTCTTTCTTATTGATGTTTATTATGAATAATCTTTTGAGCTCCACTCCCATTGTTCAAACAGAAAAAAAAAAGAAAGAAAAATAATATGAAAATAATTGTCTCACTGAGTTAGGGTTATCTAGCTTTTCAGCAGGTGTGGTTAATATTGGGATTTCTGTAGACCATGTAAATAAGTGGAGTACAAATATGTGTGCATATTTACTTTGCTTCTCTGGGTCTGTGGAATATCTCGAAGTCAGATTGGTTATTTCTTTTGTATTTTTGAACATAAACTCCACTTTTAATAACACAGCTTCCCCTTCATACCCCCACAGAGGAGCAGCTACTATTTATTTTTCTCTTTTCTCTTTGAAACTTTCTTGCCTTAGGTGGTTACAGTGTCCAGACATGAAGAGGGGAAAAAATAAAAAAGCAAACCCCCTAATAAACAAAATGGTGCTTTACTTATTCTAACCTTTAACAAGAGTTAAATATCTTTGTGAAGAAAAAATTATGGAATTTATCTACTGCATTATGTTTGTATTATTATTCTACCCACCTCTTGGGGAAAAAACCATTCAGTAAAGTGAAAGAATACTTTCCCAGTTAGGGTTAGTGTAGCTTTTTAAAAATGATAAGCTTTTAAAAGGTAGAAAAATACACATTTTGGAGGTAATAAAGGTTTAAACATTTTTGTGTATCTGAAGAGGACTGTAATGGTGTCTGTCTAAAGGCAATTCTTTTTTTTTTCCTGGAGGACTGCTGATTTATTTTCTGAGAAGGCTTTTATGCGAATTCAGACATAAGGAAATTTAAAACTAGTACACGTGTTGCTGTCTCCTTTGTGTTTTGAGGAAGCCCAGCCCCTAGTGGCATTTATTATCCTTGTGAGATGCTTTATTGGTACAAATCATGTTAAAAATGAGACAATAAAGCCTTCATATGGCTGTTTTCAGGACAGAAAGATACTGAGAAATTGTGAGTGGAAAGCATTCAAAAAAATTTAATACCAGTTTTTCTCTAACACTTACTAGCTGCTGGCACATAAATCTGGCTGAAATAATTGTTTATTTTCTCTGCCCTAGTGTGCCTTGTGTGTTGGTCAAGGAACATGAAATATGCAGATGATGAGAAGACAAATGTTCTAGTAGTATTTAACGTGACACTAATAATGTTATTGATCCCACAATAATGGAATACCAGGTTGAAAGGGGATGTTAAGGATAAGGATGTGGTCCAACCCTTCTTAGCAAAGGCACAGTTCAGACAAAATGGCCCAGCACCATGCCCAGCTGGCTCTTCCAGGTGCTCAAAATTACAGATAAAAATGTTAATTCTACCTTATTAAAACCTGCAGGAGAAAAAGAGGGGGATGACATACAGCACCATAAAACATTAGTTTTTCTCTTTACCTATGTCTTCTCTTAAGCCACTCAGACACTTGTGTATTAGCTATTATTAATTATCCCAGATTCTGTTGAAAATGTGTTATTTCCAAGACTACCAGGGAAAGCATGGCTGTTTTCTTCCACAGCTGAATGCTCCAGGAGGACCTGAGTGCTCCCTGTCTGGAGCTGAGCAGCACCAGCACCATGTGCATATGACTTTCTGAGCTTTGCCTTATCATTTGCCCAGCAGGTAATGTGTGACTGGACAGTGATGTTTCACAGAGTGTTCTGGGTATTAATAGGAGGTAGAGACAGCCCCAAATATCAGAAGATCCACGCCATTCTTTCAGATACCTGAGATCCCATAATTAACTGAGTATTGTCTTTACTAAATGATTTGTTTACAGGTGATGACAATTCTGGAAGGAAGGTGATTACCTTCAGTTGTTGCCACTTGCCCCCATGCCACCAGCTCAATCACACAAGGCTGCTTGAGTAAGTTGTTTTCAATCTCCTTCACGGACTACTTTACTTTATATAAGAACTTCTGTTATGTTGCTTTCAGGGAGGAGAATGAATAGGCAAGGAGTGAAATGAAAAAAGAATGTAAGACCTACTACTGTTAATATTAAGTGAATGAGATGTGTATTAAACTGCCAGTTAACTTGCCTGCAGTCTCTAGAGGAAGAAGCAATTCATTGTGTACTTGCTGTCTTGATTTTGTTGACAAATTCTTATTGTAGTAAAAAAAAATTCACTATGTGGACCAATGAAAGAGAAATTGTAGTAATTTAGTGCTGTGTACTGTGGAGTCCTTCCCTATCAGGGAAACTTCGAGGGTATTTCCCTGGAAGAATTTACCAGAGGCTTGGAGAACATCTCATGCCTCAGGGTGAGTGGAAAGGGGCTTCTTTTCTTTGGTGTGACTCTACAAAAAACCCCTCTGGAGCCCTGTACAGACACCCTTTCTGTCTTTCTTCACTGATTATTCTGTGGTGTGAGTGTGGATTGAGTGACTGTGCTTGTCTGAGTGGCTTTCTCAGAAGATGCTTTTGGGAAGGTAGCAGCTAACACCATCCATATTACCACGTGTTACAGTGTACATGTGTTCTCGTGAATAGCTATACTTTAATTTTCTATACTTTACCTAAATCACTCAGAAAGAGTGTTGTTTAGTTATTTGCATCTTAGTAGGTTTTCTGTTTTATAAAATTACCTGCATTAGGTTCATACATTATGCTTAACATTTTTATGTGTGTATACTTTTGGGGTTTTTGAGTTAAAAGGAGTTGTGAATATGTAAATTAACAACATTCTTCCTTATAAACCTGCTGCAGCAAGGTACCAGGACATGTTTCTGCCTTGTAGTTTGTCACTGCAAGGCGATCTGTTGTATCCTGAGAGTCCTGTCCTTATTAAGCCTTATTTTAAACCTCTTTGGGGTTGTTGTGCAGCCTCCATTGCTGAAATGTTTGAGTACCTTTCAAGCACCACCATTGGAAAGGACAAAAATGCTGTTGCTTCAACTTCTCAGAAATGGAGAGGAATTAAAAAACAGGTAACTTAAGAAATTATTTTGAGAGTGTGTTGCTTCAATTTTTATGCTCTTCACAGCACATTTTCCTGTATCTGAGCCCACATCAAGTTCACTTGGAAAATCTGTCCTAAGAGAGAACTATAGGCAAGAGTTGAATGTGAAGGTAGCAATATAGCTATCAAGTGATCTGGTTTTAGTTAATTAGATTCAGATATTGAATTCTGAGAAAAAGCTGTAGGAAAAGAGTAGGCCCTGATTGCTAGGTATTTTGTGATGAAGTCACTTAAAGAATTGATTTGGTAAAGCTTTTGTTGCTGCAATTCTGTTATAGTCTTGGAACAGGTAATTGACTGTAGAAAAATACTGGTTATTATATGACTCCAAAACACTCTGTTATTTTTAAAAATACATGTTTTCTGGATGCAATGTAACAAGGAATTTACATGCTGTAAATAAACCACAAGGCACTCTGTTTGTAACAACATCTGTTTAGGTATATTTTAATTTCAAACTCTTAAAAAAGTCTTGATTGACTGTCACTACTACTTTTTTCCATTAAAATGCCACTAATACTTAAATGAGGGATCAAAACAGCATTATATTAACTGCAGTGTCAATCTTTTCCACAAGATACTTGAGTCTAAGATTTACAGTATGCTGAGGAAATAAGATAAATGAGACTGGGAATACAGGTGAGAATTGAAGGGCTTTTCTATGCAAAGGGAAATAGTCAAAGTGTTCTTCATGCTTGCAGATAGTCACAGCCCAGTAAATGGCACATGGAACTATCACATTATATTAATTGCAGTGTCAATCCTTTTCACAAGATACTTGCAGTCTAAGATTTACAGTATGCTGAGGAAATAAGATAAATGAGACTGGGAATACAGGTGAGAATTGAAGGGCTTTTCTATGCAAAGGGAAATAGTCAAAGTGTTCTTCATGCTTGCAGATAGTCACAGCCCAGTAAATGGCACATGGAACTATCTGCTTTATTGAATGAAAATCACTTACATACAATTAAGAGCAATACTTGGGGCTGTTGCAGAATGAGAAGATAGCATTGAGAAAAACATGAGAAATTTGAAATCTGACACAGCAAGAAATGCAGCTGGATTGCACTGCTCCATCATTGCTTTATTTGAGTCATTGAGCTGTGTAATAGGCCATCCTGTGTTCTCAACTGTAGAAAAAAGGGAATGAAAATCATCTTAAACTATACTGTAAAAGAATGAACACACAGCAATCTGCTTATAAAACATGCAGTATTATTTCAAGATGGGATACATAGTGTAGTTCTTTAAATTAATTTTAAGGGATTTAAATTAAATTTAAGGCAAATGATTCACAAACTCACTTCCTCACAATGCAAACAAGGGAAAGACAAATATATTCAAGAAGAGCAGTTTAATTAGGTGTAATGGATTTTTCAAGGATTTAGAAACTTTTAAATTGAGAGGAAAGCCCAAAACATATTCTTTATTGTTTGAAAATGCAAAATGATATCATTTGCTTGTCTAAAAGGAAGGACTTTACAAAGACTGAGAAAAGCAGAAAAAAAGTTGTTTTTAGTTAAAATGCATCTCTTAAAAATTTCTTGGCAAGTACAGTCCCATATTGTATTAATTTTTAATATTTTTATTAATTCATGAGCACTGTAGTTTTTGTAACTAAATACTTTCTTTAAAGTTTCAGGTATTGCAACGATGTGGAATTATTTGCCACTAGAGCTAGATGAACTTAGTTAAATATTTTGAAGCAAACATAAATTTGCAGTCAGTAGCATTCTGTGCAAAAATAGCACATTTTCTTTCTCAGTTAGTGCTTCAAAAATCTCATCCAGTAAACTGTCTTAAGACCAAAATGTTATCTTTCTCCTCAGGTACTTAAAGTAGATCCTGGACCAGTATGTGGAGAGTGATTATATGGTTGTCTGCTTTCACTATGGCTTGAAGACTCTGAGTGAACCATCTCTGAAGTGGTTACAAACAGCCTACACGGAATTTCACAGGAAGTAAATCTCTTAAAGACTTAGTTTACTCTTCAGATTGTGTAATGTCTATAATGAACTTCCCTGAGGGAAATTAGGTGAATTTGTCTTGATTCACCCACAATTAACTGAGTTCACTTTGCTGTTGCAAATTCTTAAAATGATGTCAGTGCTGTTGGTTCTTTTTGTTGTGTCTTCTGTGCAGAACTGAGGAATGGCCTGGCTGCTGCAGTGCTTATCCAAAGGTTTGAAAAGCCATGGAGCAAAACCAAGACCTGTGGCTGGATCTACCTGAGCTTTGGAGTACTGATGGCTACAGTTCAGGACTTCATGGAGGAGTTTGTTAGGGTGTAGTTGAGGCCAAAGCTCTTGGATAAATTGCATTTTAATAGTGGAGACCAGCATTGTGGTTTGTTCCCTGAAAGTGTGAGGTTACCAATGGAGCAGCCAGTCCCTATTGAAGTCAATCTTTTACTTGTCTGCACATTGTAACTTGTTTGTAAATTGGCCTCTGGAAGGCAACACGACTGAACATGGGTAGTACAATGTATCTGTTCTTTCTAGGACTGCATAAAGGAGAGGAAAGACAAAAGTCTGTTATATTTTATCTTTGATTAGAAGTTTGGACTGCAATACTGGGTTTTGACGTGCACTGACAATTCCAGGACAAAGCATTGCTCTGTTCTCCTTCTGGAAGATTCTTAAGCTAAATTTAGAGTTGTGTTATGGGGAGAAGCAGTACAAGGTTGGTGGGTTGTTTTTTTTTTGGCTTTTTTGTTGCCATACAAGTGCATGATGAGACTCTCACTTATTCCAAAAATCTGTCTCTATTCCCCCACCCTGACCCAGAAATCTCACAACAAAGGGGACACAGAGGCTCAGGTCACCAGACAGAACCTCTCATTTTTATTAACAGTTGGAACTTCTTGGCATACTGTCATTGGCAACTCAAAGCAGAATTACCAGCTCAACATATATGGGGTGCTGTACTAGCCAGAGGGGAAAAAATACAAAAATAGCCCTTTTTGGACTTCTGGGGTGAAAGGAAAGGGAGGACAGATGAGAGTACAAACGATGAGAGTAATTAGCCCAGCATCACGAAAGCAAATGTTGAATAGGAGAAGTTTCAAAAGAATAGACCTTGCTTTGAAGGTTCACAGCAGAGGCACAGTAGTCTTTGGACACTGTAATCTAGGAAACTGAAGAACATAAACTTGAAGGTGCCTTAAGGTGCAAAACAAACTTGAAAATAGAAACATTAGTAAAGCAACTCAGGTGTTTTGTTTGTTAGTTTTTGTTGTGGATTTTGGGCTCTTAGGCACAGTAGGGCCAGGGATGGTTTTTTGCTTGTGTGTGGCAGTGGCTTTGTTAATACACACAGTGCCTGTTTCATTCACAAGTGTATGGGCACAATTAAAACCTGAAAGTAAAAACTCACGTAATTCCTGAGTTTCCTGATTATCTTTTCCCCCTCTTAGCATAACCTGTTACAAGAAGATTTTTTTTAGAAGTTCACGGTCATGTTTTTCCCTGATCATTGTCCCTACTGGAAAGAAAACTTGGTAAAATAATAAGCAAAAATCTATATATATAAGCAGGATATTCCAATATGCAGATCTCAATTTCATTTTTCAATACTGTTGAGTAAGAGATGAGTTTTTTTGTGCCACCTGGCTGCCATCAGTTTCAGCCAACTAGAATCTATTGTTTAGGTACCATGAAATGACACTGTAGAGTCAAGCAAAGCAATAATGAAAGAAAGTTTTGTTTCACACAAAAGGGACAATGCAATATCAAACAACTAGCAGTTGGCTTCACCTTTAGTAATAACTAGGAAAGCAGGACAAAATTAGTGGTAAAATTGAAGAATTAGGTATAAATTCTGTATCTGAAAATTTAATTTTTTTTTCAAACATGGAAGTTCTGCAAGCAGAAAATAAAGGCATGTAAAAAAGTAATGTTTTTAATCAAAGATTTCTTTATAGATCCTTCATTCTCCTTTTAGTATTTTTTTCAAATAGTTTAATTTCTGTCTCCCTGATATTAAATCTGTAAGTAAGCAGACACTGGTTAGGAGCATAATAGTTAATTTCATCTATTGTCAAAACTGACCACTTTTTAAAAGGGCTTATTTTTGATTTTTTAAAAATTTTATGTTCAATTTCTTCTGAATTAGGTATTTTCAATATATTTGAAAATAATACTGTGTAATGTGCCTGTAATAATAACTTTCCATTCAATTGTAGCTATTCAGTTCTACCATCTCTGGCATTTAACATTTTTCTAACAATTTTGTTTTCTTTTCCTAGGTATAAGAAAAACCTTAAAGCACTCTATGTTCTCCATCCAACCAACCTCATAAAAATTCTATGGAATATCTTTAAACCTCTTATAAGGTACTTGGCACTTCACTGAATACATTATTCCCATTCAGTTCAAGGATGGTTTATTCTCTAATAAGTTGCTTTTAAAAAGGCTTGAAGTAAAATATGTCGGGTAACAACACCCATTTAAACTATCTTGAACTAACAAGTAAGGAGAGCTTAAGCTTGGAAATGAATAGGGTAGAGTTCTTTGTAAGAAAAGGGTAGTTTTTCTGTATGTTAATGTAAATATCACTTTTAAAACATGGTTGTCTGGGGACTGTGAATGACTTTTTTGTTGTGTTTGACAGCACTTAGGGAAAAGGAACTGTGTGCATGACTGGAGTTACTGGGTGGTGCAGTAAAGTGGATGATGAATGATCAGCCTTTGGGCTGGTCAGAAGTGTTGGCATGAATGGGACTGACACTACTTATGTTCTCAAAGTTAATGGATAATCCCTGAAGTGCCCATAGGAACTTGAAAAGGAGGATATGATGGAAAAGATTATGTATTTTACTGGGTGTTCTTTTCCTTTACGTGGTAAAAATTTGGTGCTACCTCCAAGGAACCACCAGCAATGGGAAGACACTGCTATGTGCAAGAATGGTGGAGCTTGCTCAGCTTCTGCTTCTCAACTTTTGTCACTTTCAAAGAAATTCTGACATTTTTCAAATCATATTATGAATATTCTTGGGGCTGCAGGGTAGAAACAGCTAATCTTGAGAAACCATAATGAACCAGCCAAGTATTTCCACTACAGTAACTTGCAGTCATTCAGTTTCTGAGGGCTAGAAAGCTAATTAAATAGAAAAGGGAAATTTAACTTCTACAGAGATAGGACAACTAAGGTGCGTGTGAAATTTTTTTAAAAAGTAATTATAGCTAAAATTCATTCCAGAATATGCTGTTCTTGAAAGAAGAAGACTAACTCTAGATCTTTATTTTAACTTGCACTAAAATAAGAAAAATAAGTAAAATAAGTAAAAGAAGATTGAGAACACAGAGAACTGGTGGGAAAAGTGTGATGAAACCAGATGTCCAGTACCTGCTGATGTCTCAGGAATGGAGATGGATTTACTTTTGTTGTTGGTTTGTTTATTCCTGATTTCCTTTAGGATGGGTATGGAAACCTTCTAGGAAAAAAACCCAAACAAAACAATTAACAAAACCCAACAATTAACCAACATAAAAATTTATGATGGATATTACAATACTCTGATGAAAACTTCTTTCTCAGAGTTAGTTGAGAGCTCCTTGGGAACAGCTCCAAGCAGATGCTTTTGGGACACCAGTGATTTTCAGCCTGTGCATGTTAATTCCCTCAGTGGAACTACAGGTGGACAGCAGTGGTACTATTTGATAAACAGCAATAATTGCCTGCTAATTCTTAAAAAGTATGACTTTACAGGTACACATTGCAAATACTTATTTTCCCTAGATCTTACTATGTCTAAGTGTTTTTTTTGTCTTGGAAAGGAGGACACTCTGGCAGTTGAAAAGTGAATTATCTTGATGCACTTAAGCATTCATATCTAGCATAAATAATTCAAACCAATGCCTGTCATCTTAGATGCATCCTCATCTTGACCCTCCGATCACCCTGTTTTAATCACAATTGGTTGTTTCTGTTTGGACTCAACTTCTACCACTGTGTACCTGGATACTGGTTCTGAGTGTAATTTAGTAACACTGTACTCTCTGTCTTACAAAGCTGTGACAAAGCTGTTTGTACACTGGGACTGACAAAATAATTGAAGGTATGAGTACACTGTGAAAAGATCCTCAAGCCAGAAAGCTGGAACAGCTGAAGCTAGGGAAAAACCCTCTTTACTACTTAAAATGGTTTAGTAGCCAACCATGCCTTTTCTTTTCAGGTTGACTGTAGTTTGGGTTTGTCAAAAAAGTTTGGGTTACTAAGTGTGAGATGGCCCATGTACAGTTTGGCTAAATTATACTTTCATCAAAGACTAAAACTTAATAATATTGTTAATTTACTAGAGTAGTACAATTTCAATTTTTTTCATAGTACCTTTTCATTCCAGTTTAGACTAATCTCTTGGTAAATATTGACACTGTTAAGTGTCAATATTAATCCAGTTCACAAAAATAAGGGAGAAAAAGCCTCTAGACTTTGTTTCCCAGCTTTGCTGAATTATAGCCCAGACTCATTTGTAGATGCTGTTGCAAACAAAAATAGCAGATGTAACATAGATTTCATTATTAAGGGTCATGTATTTATTTTTCAGTAGTCTGTTAGTGCATTTGGTACCTGTTAGCACATGGCCTCAGTACTTTTACATGACAATGTATTTGCTAACAACTGGACAAATGACAGAGTTATTAGAATGAAGTATTTTGGCACATTTTCATTTGGTAGTATTAAGAAAATGTAAAAACTTGAAAATTTTCAAGTTCCTGAAGTTGATTGATCTTCTTTCCAGTCCCAAAAGAAGTGAGTAAGAAAGGAATGTGTTAAGTCAAGAGTGTTTTCTCCAAGGTGCAAGATTACTGTAGGAAGACCATATTTCTATGAGCTAGCAGAATCTGTTATAAAAATAATATACATTTAGGTGACAGTAGTGATGTAGCATTTTTAAGGAGCAGCACTTATTCCTAAGTGCCCATGACTTTTTTTACACATTTTGGTTCTGTGACACACCCTCTATTGCCAGAGGTGATTAGTCACAGAGTTGTGTGCTCAACTGTGGCTTAGAAAAGATGTTGGAAATTCGGGCTCTTTCGGATAAAAGACACTCTGGAGAGCTCTGAAATTGTGCATGCACAGAACGACGTTCCTCACGTGTCCCAAAATTCCTGTTAGCTAAATTCAGGGAAGTGACTGTTTGTTCCATGTGCCGCTAGAGGGAGGATGTGCATGCGGATTGGACAATCCAGGGATAAACTCATCCTTGCCAGAGTTTTCCCCCAATTTTACTATGAAGGTAAGTTGCAGCAAAGTACACTTTTTGCCATCAGCACCAACTATTTTTCTTGACATGCCATTACAGTCCAGATATTTTGTGCTGTGGAAAAATAAGACTTTATTTCAGATCATGTGTAAAAACATGCACCCAACCCTTGTTTGAGCACCTCAGCTCATATAGCCTGGCTGACACTCAAGACCTAACCAATGATACATGCAGCTTCAAATCTGGAAGTCTGTTTTGTACAACTTGTAGAAAAAAATAGTATTCCTGGTGTTTCCTAGAAGCTATCCAGCCTTTTTCAAAAGGGGTAAAGCTGATGGCCCAGTACTTCAAGGCTATACACTATCAATGCTTGGAAAATTTTACCTGTTGCTTAACTACTCTGTAGTTTATTCCTACATCCCCATTATTTTGTCTTTTTGCAGAATGGAATACCTACATAATACAAACATGTGGTTCTGTTACCTGGATAACATTCTCTTGAAGGTTCATTTAGTGAGCTTTCTAATGCTGTATGAAACCTAGTTTCCAGTGCCTTTTAAAGTGATATTTTTCATAGCTGTGCAAATCACAAAACATTCAGATGGAAGTCAGTTATTTCTATTCAAATCAGACTCTCAGGCATGCACTGTATGTGTTTGATCATATGAAATGAAATATATCTTATGCCTCCTGCTGCTTCAATTACAGTCTAATTTTGAGTTGCATCAGCACTTGCATTTTTGTAGATTTAGAAGAGAAACCCTTTATAAATGTTCCTCCCATGCTATTTTTTATACTAGTTCATGATTTTTTTAAAAATTATTTTTAACCACAAATTTGGGAAAAAGATCACCTACATGAACTATTTGGATGAACTGGGACAACATCTCAAATATGACCAGTTAAATATCCCTCAAGAAGCCATCCAGGATGGGTATATTGCCCCACTTTTTTCTCAGGTGGAGTTGCATCCTGATCACTGTATTCTAAGAAGAATCTATTTCTTGGAAATATCTAATTTACTTGTTTGTACTGGGTTGGATTAATTCTGAAAGCTGCATTGCCATCAGAGATATACTGAAGTGCATCAGGTGTTTAGTTTTCTACAGATTTGGAAAAAATCCATCTCTGTCATGGAGCATTTTCTTAATTTGATTGCTGCTTCTGTGTGAGTGTTAGCAAAGCCAATCCATATGTCATTGCTGCTTATGAGTATCATAGAATTGTCTTGGGAAAAACTCTAATCCTGACCTCTTTCCTTGCATATTGTAACAGATTGACTTCATTTTATGAAGAGCATTGCCAATCAGCAAAATGTTGATTAATTTTAAATGTTATGGATGTATCTATTATTAGTAGGTCCATTATGTTTATGTGGTGTTTATTTGTGTGTGTTAGGGGGAAGTGTTTGAGAGTGGATGGGAGGTGAAAAGAACTGCACAGGGCTGGGGTAGTCAAGCATCAGCATTAGTATCAGTAAGTCTTTCTAACATGATGCTTTACATGGAAATGCTTTGATGTACTGACACAAAGTGATTTGATGGCACTGCTGAATGAAAGTAACTGGAAGCTTTGATTATGACTGTTACTGATGCCTGGTGGCTTTTTACATACCTTTTATGGGATAACAGAAAATACCTTAGAGCTCTGAGGTTATAAATTGGATTGCATGGTGGCCAAAGAAAAGGGAGTTGTAATTTGAGGAGCAAAAATGTTTGAATTTTGCAGTTAAATTATAGTGTGATTCTATTTTTTGGACACATTTATTACTATGCTCCACTGGCTAAAGAAAAAAGGGTCTTCTATGTCTTGCTTAAGTATTCCACCACAAATTCTACTTAAAAATTCCTCCTGCTGAAATTCTGTAAGACAAGGTTCTGTAAGACCTGCAGCATATGCACAATTGTCAGGAGATCAACATCATGAGCAATACTTGTAGCTGTTCACATATACAGTCTGTCATCTGCAGTGCACTGAGCAGCACTGAAATCTTGATTTTTTTACAGACATGATGAAAATCTTTGGAGAAAACAGAAGGGAAAACTTCCTCCTATGGTTAAGGTTCCTCCACCATGGCCAACTCTGCCTACCCAGCAATTTGGAGTCAGCCTGCAATAGTAAGCCATAAGATTCCTAAACCATGACATTTGAGTACCCTGCAGCTTTCTGTAATGTACATGTTTACCAGACAGACTGCCTGCAAATAATTTTTTGTTATATGATATTAATTTTTTATTCCTTCCCTTTAAAAGCCACTAAACTATGAGGCCAGACAATAGGTTTTATGAATTCAGGACAGGACTCACAGTCCCAGTGACCTGCCTGATTTTCATGTTATAGTATCTTTAGGATAGCCAATGCACAACTTCTCCTGGTGGATAGAAGTTTGCCTGTATGTGCCAGAGCTCCAAGGAGATATGTTGCTTGTGGATGCTGGCAGTCTGAAAGTGTTTTGGGGGTGTTTAAATTATGGGTAGCCTTACCAAAGCAGAGCTTCAGGCTCCACAGTGGCTGCAGAAAGCTACAATGGATGCTTGAGAATTTAGACTCTGTTGTTTTGTTGCTCACACATCATTCTGATGTTTCATGAAATGAATAAAATCATGCCCTTCCAGAAATGCCCTGATAGCAGTTTGCATAGATTGCAGCACTGTATGTAGTATAAAAAATTGCCTGCTTTACATGAGGAATGGGGTGGCAATAGGACTTGAAAGATTCAATTTAATAAAAAACAACATCAAAAAAGATCACAAAACCTAGTTTTCTACCCACAGTCATTTCTGTAATCTTTTTGTTCTTCTCAAAAACAGCTGAAGAATATTGTTCACATTCAGCAAAGGCAATTTAGACTATCTGGTACATGCATTTTTTTCCAAACCTCCTTCTACCCCCAGTCTACTTTTCTGGTTCTAATGACTCAGCTGGAAATGAGATACAAAATATTTTTTTTTCCTCTAATTTAGTGTTAAACATTAGTCCTTTCTAGAAGGCATGAAATTAGTACAACCAATACCTATTGTGTAAGAGCTACTATAAGATTAACTTTTATGTTTTTGAACTCTTTAGAGTTCAGTCTAATACTTGAAACATGGCTAACTAGTTCAGAGAATGTCTTTCAGATGGGCTCTACTGGTCTGTTAAGAAGGACAGTGTTTTATGCCAAGTTTTATTCACTCTTGCAGAAGAGATGGTGTGACATAGCCACTTAAAATTACAAATAAACAAATCCCCTGTAACTTCTAAACCAGAAACAAATAAATTAACACTATGTTTGTAAAGAAAGGTGGAAATTGAGAAGAAAAAATGTGTGTTGAAAGGAAGTTTCCATTTTCCGAGACAAGTACCTTGCCTTGGAGGAATCTTTTAATTCACAATGACATTTTTAACCTTGTAGAGTTGCATTTTCAAAATTATGTAAAGCAACTGGGCATTTAAAAATCATAGAGGGTCTGTGAGAACTGGGAGTATAATTCTTGGAAGTGTAATCTATACAGAATTTGCTTTAATTTATAAGTGAATGGAAGGGCTTATTATCAGGTTAACTCAAAACTTTTCTTCCCTATGTTACATCCATCCACTCAGGATGCAAAATCTAAATTTAAAAAGGCTGCATTTGTTGTCTTTAAAACTTCAGAGTCACCCCAAGCTCTTTGTGGAGAGGAAAAAACAAACACACACCAAACTGATTTCATCTTGTGTGTCTATCCAGCTTTACTTATATTTGCTTGTCTGGGATTTAAACATGTAGTTTGTGTTAGGCACAGATGTGAAGTAGAAAACCTTCCTCATTGTGAGCTTCTGTAAGGACTGAATAATTTGGTCTTTGCTTGTAAAGAAAGGTAGAAGTTGAGAAGAGGAAAAAATGTGTGTTGAAAGGAAGTTTCCATTTTCCAAGACAAGTACCTTGCCTTAGAGGAATCTTTTAATTCACAATGACATTTTTAACCTTGTAGAGTTGCATTTTCAAAATTATGTAAAGCAACTGGGCATTTAAAAATCATAGAGGGTCTGTGAGAACTGGGAGTATAATTCTTGGAAGTGTAATCTATACAGAATTTGCTTTAATTTATAAGTGAATGGAAGGGCTTATTATCAGGTTAACTCAAAACTTTTCTTCCCTATGTTACATCCATCCACTCAGGATGCAAAATCTAAATTTAAAAAGGCTGCATTTGTTGTCTTTAAAACTTCAGAGTCACCCCAAGCTCTTTGTGGAGAGGAAAAAACAAACACACACCAAACTGATTTCATCTTGTGTGTCTATCCAGCTTTACTTATATTTGCTTGTCTGGCATTTAAACATGTAGTTTGTGTTAGGCACAGATGTGAAGTAGAAAACCTTCCTCATTGTGAGCTTCTGTAAGGACTGAATAATTTGGTCTTTGCAGCTTAACTTGAATGTGGAAACAAATTGTCCTGAAGCTTTCACTGAAACGACACTAATTCCAACAATAATAAGTGAGCTTAGTAAAGGCATTTAAATAATCCAAACTTGCCTTATATGACACCTTCAAAATAAAGTGTGGGGGACCACAACAGGTTACCTGTTACCCTATTTTAATTCTTTATGGCTACAGGTATAGACCAGACTTGCCCAGTTTGCTGAATGATTCTCTTTCTATAGCATTTCTGAGTGGCTTGCCTGATTGTCAGATTGTGCCTAGGAAGCTTTGATCTCATGTTAAAAACAGTGGGATTTCTTTAAAAATATAAAATAGTACTACTGAATGTTCATCTTCATGGGAGTATCAGACAAAACAATCCTTCTGAGGAAGGATTAAATGCCTTATGTCCACATTTAATTTGCAGTGTAAGGGAATCCTTGCTCAGGTTTGATATGTGCTGATGAATGTGTCACACAGAGTGGGTGGGATGGCTTTGCACATTTGCTGTTTGTTGTGGCCTGCTCTAACTGGCTAATTCAACCTGCGGGTAGAGAGGAGAGGAGCAACCACAGGGAGGTAGCTGAAAGATTAATCAAGCCTCCCCTCAAGTCTTCAGCAGAGAGAAAGGGCAGGGAGTAGCACATGGCCTGCTCTAACTGGCTAATTCAACCTTCTGATGTGCAGGTAGAGAGGACAGCAACAACCACAAGGAGGTAGATGAAAGACTAATCAAGCCTCCCCTCAAGTCTTCAGCAGAGAGAAAGGGCAGGGAGTAGCACTGAAACAGGGCAGGCACAGAAGGAATTCCTCCTTGGCTCTAAGTCCCAGCTTGTAGTGACCAGAGACTTTCAGACTATGGAAATGACTTTCTGTTACTCACCAGTAGCTGCTGCTTTCATAAACCCAGACATTTCAAACAATGTTCATCATTGTGTTGCTACAGCAAGACTACAGTTCCCTGCTTTTTCTTCACACAGAAAATGTGGAGCAGGAGGAATTAGCTATTCAGAATCTATCTACTTTAGTTTGCTCTGCATGTCAGGGTGAAAAATAGGATTTTTCTTCAACAAGCCATTAGTAAAAATTTTATATTTAAAAAGGCAAGGAAAAGTTTAGGGAACCCTCTGCTTTTGTAGATCAGATAGGATAAGAACAATTAATAATTGACTCTATGGGCCAAGCAGCATCATTGTCCTGTGCTGTATGTTCAGCAAGCTCTGGTAAACCCTTATTGCTGCACCTGATTGCTTCTCTCATCAAGGAAGGTCACAGCTGAGTTAAATATCAAAAGCAGCACACAGAGGTGACCTTGACTAGCTATTGACACTGTTCTATTTGATTAGTTTTTAAATTTAAAATTAAATATCTTTTGTGAGAAGACAGGAAATGTTTTCTTTTTCTATCAAATGCCATGGATGGGGGAAAGGGGACAGAGAAAACGTTCAAAATTGCCACAACTGTGCAGGTTTTGCTTGTTAAATTGTCATCATAAACATTTCAGAGTACTTTCCTTTTGCTCATAATCTTTCTGCTTGTCCATGCTGTGTATGGATGACCAGGGAGGAGGAATGCATTCTAAATCAAACCTCCATGTGCCTCAGCAGGGAGAAAATGAAAGGGAGAGGAAAAGCAAAGAGAAATATTATCAGCCAAGAATACCTAATGACATTTCAGTAGTATGTGCGAAGGCCTTGTGTGGGTGACTGTCTGCTGTCTAGAAATGAGTCACTGGCTGTGTGACGTGCTGCTGTAATCGATCATGTGTCCTGCAGTGAGAAGTTCTTCTCCCTGGCACTGTGTTTGCCAGAACAGATCTCTCTGGAATCTGACATTGCTGCAATACAACTGAGATCTGTGAATCATTTCCAGACGCTGTACTGAGCATTGCAGAAATTCTCTGTTCTGTTCATCACTTAAGCAGAAAGAGTAAGAAAATATCATGTTTGAAATTTCCTGTAGCTCTGCCTAATCCCCAGTGACAGTTTGTGTTGTCCATCACAAGGCACAGCAGCTCATCCCACCATCCAGGACAGGGCAGGAGAATCATGGATTGCTTGGCAGGATCCAGAAAGAGAGGACAGAGGTGTCATTTCATTGATCTTTGAGCTGGTCTGATTTACATTAACTGAAGTCATGTCCCAAGCATTTTATCTCACTTTAGGTCCAGTAAAGTGAAAGTTGTGTTCCACAATGTGAAATGCTCTGAAAATACACAGCCCAGCTCACACAAGTGCTGCACAAACAGAGCAATCCTTTGCATGTGACTGTCAGGGAACAGCCTATTTTATTTTAAAATACCTTTTTTTTCCCTTCAAGGGAAACTAGAATCCTATAGAAAATGGTAGAAGTGCAGAAACTGTAAAACTGTGCCTTTTTTTTTCCCTTGAAAAAAGAAAGTGATGTGTAGGGTTTATTATTGCAAATTATAGCTTAGTTATTTGTTTTACCTCTCTGACAGATACACTAGTTCTCAACAGGAGCAAGTGCTGTAAATAATCAGTTTGCTATTTATACTCTGAAACTGGAAACACATTTATGGCTAACAATAATAATTAGAGAACATTTTTAAAAAGCTGCTGGGTTGCTATTTGGTTCCTCTGGAGTGAGCAGCTGTAAGAAAGAAAATGCAATCAGTGCAACTTTAGAGAGGCTGAGAATGGGTTCCATGAGCTTAAATTGTCAATAATAAAGATGTAACAGCTTCCAAACACATTAAAGTCTTGATGATGCTC